CATGGTGTGCAAAGCTCCCCATCTCCCAGAGTTTCAGGGGGAAAGTCAGTCTCAGCCCGTCCCCCGAGCTACGCTGCACTTTGCAGAACAGGGCCTCAAATTTGCATCTCCTGCCCCTGATTCCTTCCTGATGTGCAAGTAACCACATGGCTCCCCCCGGGGTCAGGCCCCTTCTCCTTCCAAGTCTGGCCAGAACTGGGCCTGTGATTACGTGGCAGAGGTCCCCTGATGCCACCACGCCCCAAAGGCCCCCTTTTGGGGAGCCCTAGCGAGCGGTGCCAGGCTTGGAAGGCACAAGGAGCACACGCCTGTGGAGGAGGGGGGATTAGCATGGCTGGAGTCACTGAAGGCAAAGGGAGGCTGGGCACCGCTTACCCCGAGCCATCTCTGCCCCTTGTTGGCTGTGTGGTGGAGCTGCACCTTCCGGAGCGATATGCTGTAGATCACACCCTCGCCCAGCTCTTCTCCGATCTCCTGCGTGGAGCTCTGCGATGGGGAGAGGCAGCACAGCAGTTACCTTCATGGCAGGGGAGGGGGGGAATATCTTGTCCCAGGGAATGGCTGGGTGGCCCCCCAGGAGAAATTCAAATGCCACCCACATGATTAGCAGAGCATTCAGTCACTCGCCGCCAGCACCATGTGTTTCTAGTGGTGGTGCACATCCGCACATGCCTTGGAGCACATAAAATTTATTCTGCATGCGGATGGGAAACATTTGAGGGAACGCTGCTCGAGAGTGCTGCATGTGGGGGGGGGATTCCACCCCACTGCAGATCAGAGGAGGCCTCCTCCCTCTGCACTCTCCTTCCCTGACTGGCTGCTGCCCATTCCAGCCCCTAGTCCCTCCAGTAACTGCACATGAGAACACCACGCTCTGTCCTCTTCCCCCCACCGCTCTGCAGTGCAAAGAGGAACAGGGACCCCCTGCTCTGCCTGCAAGCGTGGGACGGCACCGAGAGCAGGGTGTGCGCTTGGGAGGCTGGCAGGTGAGCACAGAAAACTCCAGACACTGAATTGACGCTTCCCTAGAAGGCGCTGCAGTGACACACCACTGACAGGTTTGCCCCCACCTCCAGGCATTTCTAATGGGCCCATCACCAGGCATCCAGGCCCTTCTCTTGCTAGCACCAACTAGTGTCCAGGAAGAGATTTGTGAATAGTAACGTCAGCCACTCTGACCCCAAACGTGAGGCAGATGTGCCATGATCCCCTCTGTGCAAATCAGGGACCTGCCCCACATTTCAGTGCCCCCTTATTTTTGGGTGGCTGTTCTCAAATACCCAACCTGAGGTGCCTTGTGTCTGATTTTCAGAGGCACTTGGCATCCACAAATCCAGCTGACGTCAACAGGAGCTGTGGGTCCCCGGCATGGCTCAACCTCAGGCCTTTGTTTTCTCAAGTAGAGCACCCCAAAGCAGCAGCCACTTAGAAAACAGGGGGGCTAAGTGCCTTGTGTCTAGGCCACAGAGGCGGGCTTCAGCTCCACTAGAAATCAAAACCACTGGCCCAACTGCGAGCCTTAGAGCTTATCCAAAAGATCATCCTGCCCCTCAGAGACAGGACACGGGGGGGGGGGGACATGGGGATCAACATGGCAGCTTACATCTGCCTGATCCTGAGGCCTGTCCTGTCCAGGGCACTGGTCAGGACAGCTCTGAGGGCTGCTCTAATTTCTGCCTGCCCGTCCAAGCCCCCTCAGGCTGGCATGAGCTGCAAAGCAGCCTTGGACTGAGCTCTAGGACTCTAGCCCAGGGAGGCCAGTTTAGCTCCATTACCCACAATGGCTCCACAGCAGCTGAGAGAGGCAAAGTTCCCTCTACGAGGCTTTATCTGGATCCTTTTAAGCCACGGGTGATCCCTCCTGCCTCCCCTTTCCCGGCCCGCGATGGGAAACGTTGACATGCAATGAGCCTGCCCCTTGTTCTCTGCAGAACACGCCTGACAACTCTACCTGGCTAAGCCTGTTTGAGGGAGACATTGACCCAGGCTGGGCGGCTGGCGGCCAAGTCCCTCCTGTGTACACACAGTGAGCACATCAACAGAGAGAGAAAGCCGGGCTGGGACACGGCAGAGCGGGAGCAAAAGAGCAAGAGGAACCACGGTTAGCGACGGCCTTTCTAGTTCCTGTGGGGCTGCACACTGGGCTCACAACAGCTACTGAAGTTAACAGAGCCCCCACCACGGGTGCGCTTGACGCAGGCAGGTACTGCCCTTGGGTTTATGAACACACCCCTAGGGAAAAGGCAGGAAAGCTGCCACGGGGACCCCTTGCACCATCGTTTCTCGAACCCGGGCCGGCCACTCTCCTTCACATGCCTCGGAGGGGAAAATCCCACAAAACTGAGGCAATACTGGGGTCGCGTGCATGAAGCAACGGGCTGGCCCCAGCCCACTGTGCAGCAGCCAGCTCCTGTGGCAGCTTGCAAGGCTCTTTTGGCTCCCAATTTCAAGCTGAAAAGCCGGGCTCGGCAGGGCGGCCCCGGAGGCCGTTTCTTGGGGGACGG